CTCCCGCCCAGGCCTCACGGAGAAGGCCCCCTAAATGCCCTGCATGGGATGGCTCTGCTGACCCATCCGATACATTTCCCATCTGTCTTGACAAACATAGTCAAACCACAGGAGCACAGGCAAAAGGCACTAATCCTGACCTCTGCTTGACTCCTGAGGAGCCAGTGAGAGCAGAACTTGTCGAAGTAAAGAACGAGTCATCAGAGAGTGATGAGAATGAAGAGGAAAAGGAGCGGAGAGAAGACAAAAGCTGGCTTAAAGATGAGGGGCGGACGAATATGAACGAAAATGTAGGAGAAATCAGTATGGAGGCCATGGTGGATGATGTTTTTCAGAAGTCCACCATGGGAACAACACCGGAACCTTTTATACTGGAAACCAGAGTGGAACTAAGAGCAGGAGAAGGTAAGCCAGTTGCTGCCTCAGAAGAACCCGGGAAGTCATCTACCAGCACGCCATGTAAAAGAGAGACAAAAGATGACGGGGAAAGTGGGAGAGGCAAGTGTCAACAGGTGAATGAACAATGGGAGGGAGAGAGGGGAGAGCAGATTAGGCAGTTCATTGGACAGGCTGCGAAGAAGTCAACAGAAGAGGGGGACAACACAGAGATAAAGACAGTAAGCAGTGGAAGGAAAGAGCAAGGCATGGTGCAAGAGGAGAATGTGGATAGAGTTAAGGGTGGAGTAGAAGAATGCACACAAGGTCAAGAAAGGGAAAGAACTGAAAAAGAAGGTACATCATCTGGGCTGCACACTGCTCACAGAGGAGGTAGTGATGGAAAAGGTGATGTAGGAGGTGAGCAAGACACTGGTTCAGGAGCTGCAGTAGTTTCTGGGACTGAGAACAAGGCTTTTGTGTATGATGAGAAATGTCAGTCTCATCCAGAGCATCCACCAAGACAGGACTTGGAAAGCACATTACAAAGAGGAAACCAGGGTTTATTGGAATATAAGGAAATTCCTGGTGTTCCTGTTCAGGATGATGAGGATGCATCACAAGTAGCAACGAGAAAGGTCAGATTCTCATCAGCACCAGTCAAGGTAAGGAAATCTTTCAGGACAGTAATACAAATTTAGGCTTTCTGCACTCATTAGTCACTTTATAGTCAGCTGTAGGGTCTGTAATCCACACATTTAAGGAAACTCTTCTTTGTACATCTATGTGACTGTCAGTTTCAGTCCATATGAGAGAAATGTTAGGCCAAAGACCTGTTTCTGATACATTAAGGGAGTAGAAGGGGAGATCCCACATGCTTTATTCTGCCACTCCATTCAGGGCTGCCTTGATTATACTGTACATGTACAGAAAGTGTTCCTGTGGGTGTGTTTGTCATCAGTCTGGCTCATTTTAGCAAAGATTTTCAGTAGCGTGTTTCAGTCCAATAGTTTTGCTTACACAGTTTGCTCCAGTCTTTGAGTGTATGTCACACTCTGCGACTGTCAAACGCTCTCACTGGTACATTTGCCAACATAAACGGTGTCTTGCTGTGTCAGTAGCAGCAGATGATTCTCTTTCCAGTCTGCTGAACATGTTTACTGGCTATTTATGCATGAAACAGACATTTCACTTGGCCTAATTTTAGCATCAGTGTTGATGTAAGCTGAGGCCTTTTGTAGCAATTTTTTTTATTTATTTATTTTTTTATCCATGTATGTTGACTGCTGTCTTTCAGGTGTACAGCACCTATTCTAATGCAGAGTACGACAGACACAATGAGGATATTGATCCAGTATCCGCCTCAGCCGAGTATGAGTTGGAGAAGAGAGTGGACAGGATGGACGTCTTTCCAGTGGAGATAAAAAAGAGTTTGTTTCTCCGTCTGCTTACCTGCTCTTTTTGCCTTTTGTGTCTATTAGTAATGCATTTCAGGGTCTAACGTCTAAAAGCAGAAAGAAGAGAAATGATGTCACTGGATCTAATGGCGTAGTTTTGAGTCAGAGCTTTTATGCAGTCGTCTGCTTGCTTTGTTGTGTTGTGCCTTTTATGTTGTTACAACCATTCAAGATGGAGCCTTAAAACTCAAACCAAGAATTCAGTCCAGCTGCATGTCAAGAAATAATACGAGCCTGACATAATAAGATGAAAACCAGCAATAATATATTCACAAGTAATAATCCCTCCTTCCCTTTTGATGCGTACGATTTGCTCATTTATGGTGCAACACACTTTCCTAGATTAATGTTGTTAATTTGCGGAAGAATTCCTGATGTCTTTTCCTTCTAGGAGACGATGGTTTGGGCATCAGTATCATAGGAATGGGTGTAGGGGCTGACCAGGGACTGGAAAAACTGGGAATCTTTGTCAAGACAATAACTGAACGAGGCGCAACGCAGAAGGATGGAAGGTGCTTTTCAACATCACACTCTTTTGATTACTGGAGACTGAGTTTGGCTTTAATAACATGAGATTCACTCTTGTCTGTTAGGATTCAGGTGAATGACCAGATATTGGAGGTGGATGGGGTGAGTTTGGTTGGAGTATCTCAGGTGTTTGCAGCCACAGTCCTCAAGAACACATCAGGCCTTGTCAAGTAAGTGACCCTGTTATAGTGCACTGCTGTTGTGCACAGCTTCTGTTTTTCGTGACACAGAGCAAGATTTGCTATGTATTTGTACATGTAGCACATTGTCTTTTTGTACTGTTGTGTATTTCCATGAATCGCTTCTACTTAGGAGAGAGAGATCATTTTTCTCCCATGATGTTGTTAAAGGGTCATTTCAGCAGATTTTCACATTTTAACCAGTCAGCTACACATAATGTATATTTCACCTTACTGCCAACCATTTTTCTAAGTATAGTATTTAGTAGAGATGGGACAATATGTTTTTTATTATACCAAGATTGAATGACATCATACAACACCATATTGTGCATCATATCAAGTAAAAGTCACATCATTCCATCTGTAGTATTTAGACTGTATGCCAAATAATAATTTAAAACATTGGTGTCCCTTTCAAAAATGCTTCATCTCCTGAGATGTGAGATTTGGATAGCAGTCGTCAGATTTTTAATGTTTTTCATCATGACATTTTCACAAACCCATCCTTTTGTCTTCAGAAATAGGTTTTACAGCTACAAAACATAAATGTAAATGTGAGGCTTTTTAGCAGCACCTCCCAAATGAAGGCTATTGGAGTGTCTGTAAACAGACCAGTACAGGGAGGTTTCAGAACACTGCCACTGTAATGACCAATTACTGCAACAAGAGGCTTTTTTATGGAAGACATTTTGTTACAGTAAGAAAAATATATGTATACTTAATGATGAATGAATTTCATTTTTCAGCTTCAAGCTCCTGATAGGAGCATGTTGTTGTCATGTCTAGTTCACCGTGGTTAGTGTTACTAGTAGCACCTGTGCTTTACCTAGTAAATGCCAGTGTGTTATGGAATGGAATGGAATGATTGGTGGCAGCTTGGACTGATTGTGCTCTGTTCTGTTTCAGGTTTCTGATTGGCCGAGAGAAGGAGGGGGTGGAGAGTGAGGTGGCACGACTGATCAATGAAAGTCTGGAAATGGAAAAAACATCCAGAAAGGTGTGTTGTCCTAAAGAAGAGTCCTGTTTCAGTTAGCAGCGCCATATGGTTTGATTGTGCTGTTTTCTGTGTGAGTGTTGATGTATGCTATGTATTTTAAGAGAGGAAGAGGTGGTAGAGATGAAGACAATGATATTAGTACAATGGAAAAAGGGTCAGTGACTGAAGAAGAGGAGGGAGATGAAGAGGAGGACGTGTCTGCGCTTTCCTGTCTGGACAACTACCAGATCTGCCTCAAATACCTGCAGGTAGTAATTAACATTCATTAAATACTGTCGGGAGAAAAAAAAAACATCTCAGTACAGATAAGTATTTTTAGAATTGAAGATAATGCAACTGTATTCATATTAGTTTAACCTTAGCTTTATTTTGTAAAAATAATAGGTGGTGTTTTTCCTTTCTTGTAACAAATAGAAAACCTGGATTTTTTTATTTTTAATTAGTCCATGTGTTTTTGTTTTTCCATCCTGTTTTTTATTTATTTATTTATTTTTTTCTAGCTTCAGTCAAAACTACGATGCAGAATGGCCCAACTGCACCAGACTAAACAAAAGGTAGGTCAGTCAGCTGAAACTGAGACTGCTTTGGTGCACAAACCAAACACTATACTCTACCTTTGCATCCACAAGTGGAACAGTCTGACCCATTTAACTGCATGAGATCGCTCAGTGTGGAATTATTAGGACAACGGGCCATGTTCCAACACTTCTCCACATCAGCTCTGTTTTTCTGCCTTTGACTTGAAGTAGTCACTGCTGAGACAAGTGTGTTGGTGAAAGTCTGTCTCTTCTATTCAACTGCTTTAGATTAGTTTAGACTTCAATTGTTTGATCTAAACTGTTGGAGTAAAAGGACTGAAGAAGTGTACGATTTCTCTGGTTGGAAGAACAGTTTTTGACATGGGGGATGCAACAACTAAAAGGGCCTCTTTGGAAGACCTTTCTGACACCAACTGCAGAGATAAAGACAAATAATCTTCTGCTGTATTTCCCAGTTAAAAGCATGGGAGGAGCAGCAGGTGTGTCTGGAGAGCCAGAAGGCTGAGTTGGCACAGAGAGCGGCAGATGGAGAGGAGAAAGCTCACAAACTAGAAAAGTATGATGGGACCATTTTACTACAGTATATGTTATGGAAGTGCATTTTGCCACAATAGATCAAATTTGTAAGAGTATATACAAATCTAGCTCAAAGACAGTGTGGCAACTTCAAACCTGCAAAAAGATAATGAAGTTGAGAAACATGAAAATGATAATGATGGTTGGGAATGTGTTAATGACCCTTACTATATTTATCAGGTATTGGCAAGAGGCCCAGACACTGTGCAGGGTTGTGAGCCAGAGGCTGGCTGATGCCCAGAGTCAATCAGAAAGCCTGGAGATTAAATACAACAAGGCCAAGAGACTGGTCAGGGAATACCAGAGCAGGTGTTTATTAAATTCATCCAATTATCTCAGTGACTGTGTGGGCTATTACTCCTAAATTAAGTGTATTTTCCTCCCCCCCAGAGAGGAGGAGAGGGAGAAAAGGGAAGCAGATCTGAGGAAAGAAATGGAGGAGAGGGATAAGCAGCACAGAGAGACTGTTGAGAGGCTGCAAAGCCAGGTGAGAGGAGACTGATCAATCCTGGATGGATTTCCTTACTGAGTTGCCATTTCTCTTCATTGTTTCACACTGTTCCCCACAGATTGTGCAGCTAGAGACAAAAGAACCTGTAGCTGAGAGAAGGAACAACTCTGTGGTCTCTCCAGTGACAGGCACGCAGTTGTGTTACTCTAAATGTGAAGTTCAGACTTCTTGAATTAAAATGTGCTTTTTCACTGAGCAAAAGGAACTGTTTGTTTCAAATCCAGACTGGTCTCTTCCAGTCCCCAGTACAGGACGGTTAGACTCCAGTGTTCACATAGCTCGAGCTCAGCTGGCCCAGAAATCTAAGCGCCACCCGCCCTCACGAGACAAACTCAAAGAGAGCTTTAGAAAACAGGTAAAAGCTAAGGCTGAAAACTTGACAATTAATTAATTCATTAATATAGTTTCTGACTATAAAACCTACACTTAACTCCATTGTTTTTCAGGAAGACCATGTCCAGAAACCACAGTCGAGCCAAATGTTGTCTGCTCCTGCGGTGGTACAAAGGAGCAGCACAAGTGACATGTCCAGTACCACCTCTTTATCCGCCCTCAGTCCTCGGCTTCCTAGCAGCTCCGTCTTCACCCCGCCCATCTACATCACTGACACCGTCACTCCCTCGCCATGCAAATCCTCCGCTTCCAGAAGATCCAAAAGGAAATTTCCCAACTTCAGGTGAAGATGGGTTTAAAAAGGTTTTTTTTGTTCCCATAATCACTGGTTTAATATCAAAAGTAGAGTTAAGACTTTGTGCTATAGCAAACCTGTGGTTATTTGCCAAAGTGGCTGGTATAGTAGGCCTCTTTATTACACCTTTTCTGGATCCTTCTAAAAGAGTGTTTCTTTTTCAGTGGTCTTCGCAAGTCTCTCGGCAAAAGGAGAAGTGAGAGAAACAGTAGGCGGTCAAACAGCAACAGGTGTGATGGTACACAAAGTCAAAAATAAGATTCTGAATTCATAACTGATCACTTGACAGGACTGTAAATAAAAGCCATTCAAAACTTGTGATCCAAGTGACCATATCTACAGATGGGCTTTGTTCATATCATGCTGCTATTCCTGAGTGCAGGGTGTGTATGTAACTGCAGCATTACAGCTTGAAGATCACATGGGTGCCCAAAGCAGTTGCCATAAATCCCAGTCCCTGTAATCTTGTTGCATTATCTTAGAAGTTGATGGAAAATAGGAACCGATTTTAACATTTTTAACTGAAAAGTGAGAAATTTGCTTAATTGCTTTCAATTTAATGGAAATGTAACTTTTTTTTCTATCAGTGGGTCATGTGGCGACATGGTAGGCGAGCTAGAAGATTCTCCAACAGGTTCAGTCACCTCCATGCCCTCTTGCTTGCCCTTTCCCTGGTTTGGGGAGCGAGGGAGGGAGAAAGAAGATGGGGAAAGAGGCAGGGGGAGGCTTCGGTCCGTGTCCAGCAGCAGTTTACCATATCTGACCACCGCAGGCAGAAGAGATCGAGTAAGAAAAACTGAATGTGGACAGTATGCACACATGGTGGCCAGTCAGTATATCGTGGGCAGCACTTGACAAGAATACAGATTTGTAAAACCTTTGCTGCATGTCATGCTCAATTTTCTGATCTAGATTCTTCTCATACAAATTTAAAATGATGTGATGTGAAGTCTCTAGGCAGCCCAGGTTTGTTTCTGTTGGTTCCAGAGTATTGGCTCTCCAGTGGGCAGCTCCAGCATGGTGGGTCATGTTTCTGGGCACTCTCTCACTTTCTCCTTTTCCTCCACTGAGGTGAGTCATCTGTTTTCCTCACTTTCCCCTTGGAGCACTCTGTCCTAACTCCAACCCCAAAGCCTACTCTGTTTTAGATTCCCCTCATTTCTCCCTTTTCTCCTGGTATTGTCTCTGTGTCCTGTTTTAGATTCCCCTCATTTCTCCCTTCTCTTCTCCTGGTATGGTCTCTGTGTCATGTTAGACATTGGACGATGACCCAGTTCCCACCAATAACAATCGGTGGCAAAGTCAGCCTGTCTCGGAGTGGAACAATCAGCAGGTGTGTCTGTGGTTAAAGGCCATAAACATGGATCAATACGTGGCTGAGTTTGCTGCCAGAGGTGTGGATGGGACACAGCTGCTCAACATGAATGGTGAGAAACTCAAGGTGAGTGGAAACCACTGCAGAAAACAGGCTGACTCTGCAGTTCTGAAACGGTTAACCATACAGGGGGAACTGTATTCTGATGCGGTACATTTCTATGGTAATGCCATTATCTGTGATTATATTGGCCATACTGGTGTAGCAACAAATGTAACTATCAGGCTCAATGAATCGCAATGGGAATTTGAAAAATGAAATCTGCTTTTGTGGGGAGGGTCATTAACCCGAAGAGGTACAGTAAACCTGTTTACCTGTGTCTTTCTGCTGTCAGGCCCTGGGTGTGTGCAGTCCAAGTGACCGGTCTGCCCTCAAGAAGAAGCTGAAGGAGATGAAAAGGGTGGAGAAAGAGAAGCTAAAAGAGGAAAAGGAGAAGAATGTCGTTTTAGATGAAGAGAAAGCAAGGATGTCAGAGGAGACATCTGTTACAGATGAGGGGCGCAGTGGCAAACCTGTGAGAACTGAGTCACTGTTATAAAGTAAACAATGGAGTAATGTCAGTGTGAGGATGTGTTTAGTCGTCTTGATGGTTCTCATTTAGGATACAGAAAAATGGGTCTGGTTTTAAATGACAGCTCTTCAGGGTAGAGTTGGTCTCCAACAGCAATTATGTTTGACAGAATTTAACTTTTTCTTTCTTTTTTTATCATGAACTTTAAATTGTCCCTAGAATGTTTTAATAAGCACCTAAGTATTTACAGTGAAAACTTAATAAATTATTAATAAATAATGCTTTAAACCTCCTGTTCTTGCCTGAAACTTTCAACTTGGCCTCAAATAATCACACCCAGAACACATGAATATAACAAAAAGCTGTATTCATTAAACTTTGTTCATACTCGCATTTTACAGCCAGTGACTTAAAGGTGAACTCTGCAGAGGCTTTTTAATATGGTCACAAACCATTGGTCCTTGACAACAAATGTGGCTGCAATTTCTCTATAATGTACAATGGAAGGCACCTTGTACACAAAAGATGCAAACTAATTAGGATCCATAGTTACGGCAGATGCACAGTAGAAAGGACAAAACCTGCACTTTAAAACTGGGGGAAAATAAACGGTTTAAAAGGTCGCCTGTATATGCGTTGTATGACTTTGGCCTGTAGAATGTGTAACAAAGAATAAATACAATTGCACAAAATAATCCAGAAACACTTGCTCCCTAGCCCATTCAATGCTGAATATACTGTAGTAAACATACAAAACATGCTCCACATTTCAGGCAGTTATACAGGACCATCTGCCACAATGCAACTCTCCTTCCAGTGGTTCATATGGACTTTATCCAAGATCAGAACAACCTCTGAAGCAGAATGTTTGACCAAGTATTTAGTCTTGTAAAAGTTTTTGTTCTTTGTATCCTGATATTTACAGTCCACATTCTAAAAAGATGGGGCAGGAAAAATCAAAACTGGGAGCTTGTCAGTAAGGAATTGGCTTGGAGTCTCATCTAATTGGCTGTTAAGAATACTGTTCATTTCCATGCCAGGTTGTCATCCAGGGCTTCGTTTCCAGGTTTTCCCAGTTACCCTTCGCAGCATCAATCGCTCTCTCCTCCCGTTTGATCCGAACTGCAGTATAACTGGGAACCTTGTCTTCATATTTTGCATGCTTAAAAAAGCCGCACTGCGGAGAAAAAAGGAAAAACAAAATCAATGGTTCATTTGAGAAGAGGCTAAAGGCATTCAGAGAAAAGGAGGCTGATGAGTTACCAGTCTGTTTCACAGGCAAAAGCTAAGCAAATCCATTAAGAGGTGCAAAAAGTTATCTGTGCTCATTTAAAGAAAGGAAATGTTCCAATGCCCCTGTTAATAAAAACAGAAAGGAAAAGACCTTCAGAGGGACTGCAAGAGTAACCAAAAAACTGGAAATAAAAGCTCAAAGAAAATTAGAGAAGCAGAGTGGCCCCCAAGGTGTAGTTCCACAGATAGCTAAATTCAGTCACTGCTTATCAGGTGTCACCTCTCTTGACCATACAGATAAACTGTAATGATCCACACATACACGTGAAAATCTTTGCAGAAACAATCAGCTTCTATAATAGTATTAGAATTGCCCACTGCCTGCCTGACACCAGAAAGCAACGTGTTTGTAGCGAAAGGAGCAAGGAGAAGACATTTCGCTCATTCACGGCAGGCCAGGAAATTTTACCGTGTCTCTTTTTTATGCATTTGCTGTCAGTGTCTCTTTTTCTGAGCGGTCTGCTTTATTCTTTTTCCCAAAGACTCCACACTGAGGAGAGGCAAATTGTTAGACAATGTCTGTAATCGCTGTGATATATATACACCTACAGTTGCTCTGCAAACTGTGTTTTAAAGACTTACGTAAGGTTTATTCAGCTAAAATCATGAAAGCAGATGTACTGTATGTATTTTTATTAGCTGAGCTTGCATCCTACCTTCCAGAGGAGGAAAGCCAACATGGCCAACAGCAGCAGACCAAACAGGATGGACAGCACAATGATCCACCATGGCACGCCTCCTCCATACGCAGCTGTACGCCTCTCTGGGAACACGGTCAGTTTCACCTGGGGAACACGGTACAGGCAGAACACCAGTATTATGTGCAGATGGGCAACTGATACTGAAACCCTAAGGCTTGATTCACCCCACTGAAGCACACTCTTTGGAAACACTGTTTTCAGAGCTTGTGGCTGATGACATCCAAAGCTTCAAATGTCACTACTGCTTCAGAATGTGCTTTTCTAAATGTTTTCCAGCTAAACTGGGAACATTAGTGGAATAACAAAAGAGTATCTGAACCAACTCATACCAAGAAATAATGTTATAAAACTAATATCATTTAATGAAGACCACTCTCCAGTCACATTCCATTACAGCTGTATGAATTGTTACATAAATATCAGCCATGAAAACAAAATGCATGGATCCACAGTCACACTGGACCTTAGCGACACTAATAAAGTACATTAATATTTAGTGGCTCCAAAATGTTTAGTGTAGCTTTTTTAGACATAAATTATTTTACTACCAAATACTGCACAATAACTTTTAATGAAGCACTTCTGAACTAAAGGATTACAGATTTAAGAATAACATGCAGGCTTCATGGACTTTTATTGCACACATATGAGATTAAAACTACTGAAATGAGTGTGGTGTTGTCATGCTATAGCCCATCTTTAAGGACTGCTGTAAGATGTACAAGCCACTAGATGTCACTGTGCTCACTTTGTGTGCAGCCCCAAAGCTCAATAACAAATGAGAAGAATAGATAAGAAATACGAAGGCCCAAAATTTCAATAAAGCTTCATTCACCCATCACCAGTATTAAGATATTGGGTTCACTTTAAAATGTCTTTTATTGTCTGTGTTTATATTGTACACAAGCTCAGGTTTTTAATGACCATGCACTGTAATGCCATAAGCACTAATAAAAACCTGCTGTATACATCTGCACGTTATGCACCTTCTCAGTCCAGCACTGTCATGTATCATAATATGATTTTTCTGTTGTGTTTATTTACCTCTGTCTCTGCATTTTCCAGCACTGTGTTCTTTGTGCTATGCATGTGCAGAGAGGCCTTCGCTATCACCTGCACATGATGGAACTCAGAAAAATCCTGTTTAAAGACAGTAGGAGAAGATCGAGTTTAGACAGTGCTGGGAGTAATCAAAGAAGACACTAAATAAACTGAGTCATCTGGTACAATAAGCACTGTCCTTAGCATGTTTATAATTCAATAACTGTTCATTTAACCTACAGCAGAGTTAGGTTATTTTATATTAAATATAAAATATAATTTCAGCCTGTCAAAAAGCATTTGTGAATATTGTTTACCTTTTTTTCTCAAGACAGTGAGGCTGACTGTCGCCAACATCACAAAGGTGCTACTCATATCAAATCCTGATGTACTAGTTGAGTAAAAACACTCTTTTTACCTCTAGGAAGGTGCCATTCCAGAGGCGAGAGTAGAGCGTAATGACCGCGTTACTGTCCAGCCCCTCCAGAGGGCACGTGAAGGTCACACATTGTGCCCCACTGTTACAAGACTGTCAAAGAAGCAAGAACAAAATTAGTGCTGGGTTCCCCTAGTACTGGTAGTAAGATACAATAAAATAAAACAATAAAACTTGGTCATGTGGTGTTACCAGAGTTGCGATTTTCTTTGTATCAAGCAAACGTGAAAGAGTTCCCTGTTCTCTTTCCTTCTTCTTTTTTGCTGCTCTTCTTTTTCTGGTGTTAGCTGATTCCTTGAAGCAAAGAAGAAAAAGTACATTTAAGCATTAAATATACCTCAATGACTTTATTTGTCTAAAATATAAATCTATATATGTAAAGTGTAAACTTCTTCCAACATGTACCATATACCTTAAAAAGAAATATCAACTGAAAACACACACATATACACAATAATGTGATTCACTGACCAGGCCAAGACTGTTGATCTCCTCTTTCGGAGAGCAGTCCATCTTGTCCACTCCCGTGGAGCTGATCTTCATCGGGTAGAGCAGCCACTTCCCTTGCGCTGTCAGCTTTGGCCAGTCGATGTTGAGGGTCGCGGTGCCAAAGTCTGTCAAGCGATTTCCCAAATTTATTATCTGTAAAACATGACAGGAACAGTACAGTACCACAGCTCATATAGTATTATTATTTAGTATTATTAACTAAAGCACATGTACATAAACAATGAATCCATGATATAAAGAAATACATTTTAAGAGTGCTAAGACCAGAGGGTTTCTGGTCCAGAAGATTTCCTGTACTCACTCTGAACTGGTGTGCGATGGCACTGCCAATTTCACTTTCACTCTTCATGGCTGCCTCACCTACAACTTCTCCTGTAAAGTACACCTGAGATGGCTGTGCTTGTCTGGAAAAATACAAATGCATATTTGGCAGCATGAGACTGTGCACACTTGTATTTTTTGCAAATACAGAGCATGTGTGTGGTTGAGGGTTTCTTACCCTGATACAGACAGCTGCAACACAATGGCCACCTTTATCTTTGCTATGACAGGAGGTATATTCGGCTGTTCGCTTGTCCTGTCAGATCAGAGGTTACACACAGGTCAACTCAGACACTCCTAAGGAACTACAAATGCTAGTACATAATTGAAATCAGTGCATTACATTCCAGGAGCGTATCTGCAATATGATTTGTTTACATGACTGAGGCAGGACTCTTAAGCTCAAGCGATCACCACCATCGATCACTGAACTACAATTACTGGTTCTTGGTGGTATGCCCCCGCCAACCAGTCAAATTGTGACACTTGTGTCAAATTTGAAGAAATTCCCTCAAGGTGTTCCTGAGATATCGTGTTCACAAAAATGGGTCAGAGGGACGGACAGCCAGACAGACAGATGGACAGACGGACAACCCAAAGACCTAATGCCTCCGGCCGTGACTATCGCTGGGGCGGAGGCATAAAAATCAATCGCCTGACTATTTAAACAGTGCAGTCAATGTTGTGTAGCAGTTTGTGCTGCAAGATTATGAACTGAGATATACTTACGTTTTTAGCTGAAGATAAATCTCCATTTCCGTGGTGTTGAGAGAGATGCCTGATGTGTCCAAAATAATGTAGAAGGTCGTCTATATGCAACACAGACATATACAGTTTCTAAGTATTACCAGTGATATGTGTGCGGAGGAGACAGACGGTTCTAAAAGGTCATGTTTTTCTCACCTCTGAGTTACGTCTGAAGGGATTTCCAAGCTCACACTCAGCCGAAGAACCATCTTTGTTGGCCTTGCAAGTTACCTGCCGCTCCTAAATCAATGACAAGTACCAGTCAAAAACAAAAATCGGTGGTTTGTGTGTGGGTGTGTGTGTGTGCGTGCGCACATGTCAGAGAAAAAGAAACTCACATTAGGTGGCAAAGAGAAAGCAGAGTAGGTAAGGGAGCGTGGGAAGGAGGCGTTCAAAAAGGCTTCATATGCATCATCTCCACTGGGGTTGCTCACTTTGACCTCCAATATGATGTTCTTCTGGTCACTGAGCGAGATCACTGGCACACCACCCTCCCTTTAAACAGACAGGAGTTATGAGCCTGTGTGCTGACACATGTGAGTGTATACAGTGCTGTGTAGCTCTGTGAGAGCCAATGTAGTAACCTTGTCTAACACCAGGATTTCCACCTATGAAAAACAGGTGTGTGTGTGTGGCCTTGTTTTTCCTATACTTACAAAAACCAGGAGCACACTAACAGAAACCAACATCACTTGTGGGGACCAGAGGCCGGTCCCCGTGATGCACTGTAATTTGATGAATTTTACAGAAAGGAGACAGTATAAAGTTAAAGCAAGTCTCAGCTGTGGGTAGGGTAAGTTTCCGGGAAATGAATTTAAGTCCAGTAAGTGACAAAAACAAGGATGTGTGTGTATCCGCTTACAGTTCTAATGGAGTGAATGTGTTATCACCATCTGTCTTGTGGCCATAGCGATATTTCAGCTGCAAGTTGCTCTGACACACATTGTCATCGCCACATCCCATCTTCAGGAAATTCACCTAGAAACACAAGGACACACACAATAGATAATAATCAATAAAAGCTATCCATCATGTCCATACATTAAATATCCTGCATACACACCAATGATCGAGTTGACTTTGGAATGTTGGCATCCATGACGGGCGGCAGTTGAGGAGCTGAGCTCTGCCTGCGTTTACGTTGGCCATGCTGGATGGCCACAGTCACATCGACGGGGATCCCATGCAGTTTGTCTTTAATGTTTTCCTGTAGGATGGTGAAATCACACAACATTACACACCAGCCACAATGCACATTGATCAAAAGAAAAAGGAGACGTTTCTAAACAGTTTCTCTACCGGTATGGCGAGTTGTTGTTTAACACACTGTTTATTTCCTTGAGTTCCCAAGTTGACATTCCCATCGGATTTGGATTTGCCATCTATAAAGGTTGCTCTGGGAATAAGACCGTTCTTCCTATAGTCAGCGTCTGCCTCGAGGGAGTACATCACCGCTGAATGGGACGGAGGATTTAAGAGAGAGGAGGATAAACAATGACAGATAAAAAAGGAAAATAATGTTCAATACCTGTTACTGTGAATCAGTATGATTTCTAGGTATTGTTTCTTGCTGTTTGAATTTTCTAATAATAGGAAGAGAAAGCATGATAAAAATTAGATTTTGCTTTAATAAAGAAAAACATGGCTCAGCTTACTCAGTCTGGGAGTGTAGCTACTAGGGCTGGCAGTGTAGGAGAAGCATGCCTCAACGTCCAAGCTGGGGACACAGTGCAGTTTATCCACAGTCAGGCATAGCAGTGACAGTGTTTCAACATTAGCTGAAGTATCTAGATCAGGGCCACCTAATACAGTACGTCGATCGTGATCGACCGGTCAATCGCAAAGGTAGTGTCGGTAGAGCTCATGTCAATATAATGAGCTTAGTTAATGCTTTCAAATGAAAAATGGAACATTTTGGGGAACTTCCAAAAGCTCTCTTCAGAGCTGGAGATGCAACAGAAAGCATGTGTGCAACTTGACATTGCGCACTACACAAAGCAGATTGACAACTGTCAGTTAGAGTTTGACAAACGCTTTCAAGACTTTGCCTCACTCGAGCCAGTCTCTACATTTATGTGCTACCCATTTAGGGAAGATATTGAGCTTGATTCACTCGCATCAAAAATTTCAACGCTGTTTCACCTGAACTGGTCTGGAGTGGAGGATGAGATATTGACACTACAAACTGACATTCAGCTGAAGTCCAGGGCTAACGGATTGTTTTGGAACTTGCAGAGGAAAAGTACCCAAACATGAGGAAATGTGCCATTGACTGAATTATTTGGCTCTACTTATTTATATGTGTGTCAGCATTTTCTCACACTAAGATTATTACATCCAAATACCGCTCCACCATGACTGATGACCATTTGGAAGTCTGCTGGAGGCTGGCTACCAGCAGCTACTGTCCGGACTACGCAGCTCTGGCTGATTCCATTCAGTGCAAGTCATCAGAGTAAACTAATGACCAAAAAAGTACTGAACTGTAGTGTGCCTTAAGGTTCATGCAGTTATGCAAGGTGCGCCAGCATATATTGTGTTTACATAAGGTATACTCCATATATAAATAGATATATGTTTAGTATTTTAACTGTAGGTAGATCATTTTGACTTGGTCATTTGAAAAGTAGCTCACAAGGCAAAAAAGTGTGACCACCCCTGATCTAGATACTAAAAGAAACATCTACTAAATGAATGTTCTGCTTAATGATGGGGGAAGCTTACCAGACGTTGTTGCCACAGTTCTTCTTGGCGAGGTCGATTTTCTCCGGTGAGAACTTGAGTTCCTTGTTGATATTAATAACCGGACGGGCTCTGGGAGAAAAGAACCCAGTGAGCTCCTCGATAAACATGGCAAGAGACATATGATCAGGTTAATGTATCAGTTCACTCACCTGAAGACAAAAACAGAGTCGGAAAGGGAACCAACAGCCAGGTCGGGGTAGGAGTTCTTATCTAGGTCCATATTGCCTGCCAAGGAGTAGCCAAACAGTTTGACTCCTAAAGGTTTGCCAGACAGAACCTTAAACAAGACAAATACATCCAGTGGTTTATTACAGCCACTTACTGTGCAGCATGTATTTATCATACAAATCATAGACATGGAGACACTGAGAAAGCTTTATTTAAAAAGCAGATGATTCTGGATATACACCCTTAAAACTCTGCATTCTAATGGTTTAATGAAGAATATAATCCAAAAAGTTCCAAACAAACAAAAGTAAAACCAAAACTATTTTAAGGGCTTGAGCAGAAACTTAAGTATAAACCTTTTTTGTTGTTGACAGGACACTGTTTTTAGACTTTAGTTGTTTAGATGTAAACAACATTCAGAGCAAGACAAATGGAGGCAGAAGTATTTTAGAGACCTTTCTCACTCTGACAGCCTGCCTACCTCACAAAACAAAATGCTGCAGCAATTACAGTATAGTTGAAAAGTTAGCCAGTTGTTCCACCAGTTTATTTTGTACCTGTGCAGCCTTTTTAGAGCTGAGTCCTGTGGCTGATCCATGGTAGATATAAACATTCCCAGCAGCACCATCCTCATAAGGAGCTCCTACTGCGAAATCTGTCAGCAAAAACCACAACACTACTGATTTACAGTGCAGTTATACAGGAGCACACTTTTGTTTTACAGAGGGATGTCAAGAATGACTTGTGTACACATATGAACATGCATAAAATACTGGGGCCTCACCATGGTAACCATCCTGGTTGATGTCTCCCAGGTTTTCCACAGCCAAGCCAAACATGGAGTCCTTGGTTCCATCTATTCTTGTGGGTTTGACGTCTTTCCATTTTCCAGCTTTGTTAACGTAGACGTAGACGGCTCCTCCGATTTCTCCATCCTTCTCAAAGTACTGAGGTGCTCCCACCACTATGTCCAGCCAACTAAAAAACAACAGCATTACACATTTGTGAATATATGTAAACAACAGTGATAATATTTTCAGAATAAAAGTTACAGGTTGTGTCTATCACCCATGTCTCTCACCCGTCCCTGTTGAGATCCAACACAGTGAGATCATAACCAAAAGATGAGGCTAGTCCCTCCCCTTCCAAGGTGTACTCTTCAAGCAAGCTGTTGCTAGAGAGGCCCCCGCTCTTCAGCAGCACCACCGCCCCACTGTAGTTCGCTCTGGGAGCTCCTGCAACCACTATCAGCTCACCCATCTTGGTCAATGCCTTCCCCGAGTCCAGAGAAAAGCCTGAAAGAAAGAGACAAAAGGACAATTGCTTATGTAGTCGGAAGATGGTCAGATGTGTAAACAGAATAACAGGAATCAGGGTGGAGATTGAGCGCCTTACCCAGGAAGCTGTTGGCAGGAGCAGGGACCAGGTCCGGGTTCTTCTGTCTCTCATCTCCTGCCTCAAAGGGACCGTCATCAAAGATGCCCAAATCTAAGAGGGAGTCATTCTTCTGTTCCAAGCGGACAATGCCTTAAAGAAAGGAGGGAAGACCAGACAGGATGAGATGAAACAGAGATGGCTTGTAATAAAAAAAGGTGCAAAATGCATAACACGGTCTTAATGGGTAATGTCAAACACATGACTATAGCCCCTTGAAAGCAGAGATTATGGCAAACTGCCTATGTTTTGACCCTCCTTCAAGGTAGCTTTTTTGATTTAAGCCCTTTTACATTTAAAAGAGCTGGAAAACTGCCGCTCCTGTGTTCATTTTGCACAGCTGCCAGAATCCCAGTAATAGAAGCATGATGCTTATTGTGATGTGCTTGGCGGCCAATGAATTTTTATTTTGAAACAAACAGGCTGTTATCTGATTTTGTTTGATATAAGCTAAGCTATTTATAAATTAGGAAATATAATACTACATGCATCCAATTTCAGCTCTGTGTGTCTGTTTGAGGGCAGGGCTACACACACACACACACACACACACACACACACACACACACACACACACACACATTAGACTACCTCTCCAGTTGTATGCTCCAGGGGCGCCAAAGATCAGGTAGTGGTAGTCCTTGTCGAATGTGGCAGAGAGACCCTGCTGGCAGGAGCCAAACATCTCATGGCCTCGGGGCCGGTTGTCACAAAATAGCCAGTTACCTCCATCTTCACTTGATCCGCCATCTATTGTCAAGTCCTGACTCAGCACATAGCAGCGCCCAATAATGTCGCGGGATTCGAGGGATGTGTTCACATTGGCACGGCGCTGATAGCGATGGGCACAGGTCTACCAGACAGAATGGAACAGTACAATGAAGAAAAAGATCTAGTTGAATAGTAGACATCTTAATGAAAAGAACAGTAAAGTAGTAGTAAAGAGATAGTGTTACTGAGACCAACTTTTGAAACCTGTTCAAAAGAATACAGATACATAGTATGAGCACAGACACACACAGAGAAACTCAAAGCAAAAACACAATTCGAAGTTATTTAGCAGACAAAAAACACTTTTCCTGGCACTAACTTATCAAATATGTGTTCAAAAATGTGCAGAGATGTATCATTTCATCCTGTTCAACATACCGTGGTTTCTTTGGGCTCTGGGAAATTGTGATATGTGCATTCAGATATTTTAAAGTGGGGCCAATAAAAAATATATTGATTAATCAAAAAATAATTAGTCATAACCTCCAAATCTTGTTCAAATGTAAGCGAAACGTTATGGCTGCACCATTCAATTAAACCTCTTATTAAAGCTGCATTAACTAACTTCTCCCTCTAATTTTTGACCATTAAGGGGGGAAGTGAGAGTCAAAAGAAACTCAAGCAGTATCCCCTCCTCATCTTCCGCCGTTCCTCGTTGCCCCTTCTGCCCTCTTATGTGGTCAAGACAGCTGGAGACAGTTGTGGCAGTCAGGTAGCACAGCAGTAATAACCGGCTCCAGAGCTGATTCATACTGAATATAGAGCCCATAGAGCCCATGTTTTTCTTTGGCATTGCTGTGACACAATGTCAAATAAAGAGGTTTATATTTTAGCGATATGCATATGTATGTCTAACATTGTTTGAAGCAGATGTACTGTATCTGCAGTAACACAAGTAAATTATACAAAGGAATGTTTTCTTCCCTAGTTATACTGATACAGTACTAATGTTCTGGCCACTATTGCATCATGATCAATGTTACATACTTGATACACATGACCAAGAATTGTATGTGAAATGAGAAATTTCATGTTATGCTTTGATAGTTGACCAAAATCCCCACTTTTCAGCAGGGAGACAACACTTTTTACTTGATTTATCCAAATGTGTGCTAAATTTTAGTTTAAAATTGTAGTTATTTAACATCAGTTACACAATCCACATGCATTTCTGTTGATGTGAAGGTACCTGTTTGGACAGTTTAGTAAGACTGTTCATAACAGTGAACTGAGGGTGTTCATGTTCAAGGTCATTGTCAGATACAAAGCCAAACTCTTACCACAATCTTGCCTCCTGGCCCCTGACTGTTGACTGTCACTCCCAACCACTGGTTCTCTTTGCTTTCTCTGGTTAAATCCTCTTCAGAGGCAGAAGGAAGAGGCAGATGTAGACACAAAGAGGGTAAACTGAGTCAATTCTTGGGGGAAAAAGGTGTTTAAAAAAGTCAAAATGTATGATTCAGCTGCACAGGTGTCAGCAGGCGTCTCACCTGTATTATCAAAGACAACTCTGGTGCAACCAGTTGCGGTGGAGCTCATGTCACAGTTGTAGAGTCCTCCAGTAACTTTTGATTTTTGACCTCTTATAGCATTTGCTTTTGGGGCACCAACCAGCAGCCTGAAATAAACACACACATGAATTCATTAACACCATACGCAGCTCAATCAAATGCACATTGTGAAAAGAGGCTCACCACTTGGAGTCATAATTAGAACCACCCTGGCCTTTCTTCCATTTGCACATTATATTATCACATATTCCAGTCTATTCTATCAAACAGTAGCCATATTCACACACACACACACACACACACACACACACACACACACACACACATACATACATCCGCCACCAAAATGATGTTCCATGTCCTCACAGTTCCACTGAGTCAAAGACCCCTTTCAAATGCCTGCTGTGGTTGATTGAACCAGATCTTCTCTCTCTCTCTCTCTCTCTCCCCCCACACACACACACACACACACACACACACACACACACACACACACACACACACACACACACACAGAGGCTGCCTTTGTGGACAAGTACAAGGGCAAATGCCACACCCATGCCTTGACAATTGGCATCCAGGTCCCAGGATTTTCTACAGAGTAAATCAGACAAGTCAAGGATGTGGTCCTTTGGACCGATGCTTTATGGAGGTTTACAGTGGAGAATAAGATAGATAGATAGATTGACAGACAGACAGACAGACAGACAGACAGACAGACAGACAGATAGATAGATAGATAGATAGATAGAAATACTTTATTAATCCCAATCTGGGAAATTGCATTGTTTCAGCAGCGGTTCACACTCAATATCAAGCACACATACCAACAAATAGGATAAATAACCCACTAAAATATAAAACAAATAAAAATACATTAAAAAGTTAAAAACAAACCCAACACAATCACGTACATATACATAATCACATGATGAATCAAACATATGCAAATCTATACAAAAGGTGATTCAGTATACAGTTACTATCAATCCAGGAATCATTTTCAGGAAAGATTTTCTGTATTGTACAAACTAATGGAATAAGGCAGGAAAGATTTCCTATAACGTGCTTTACAGCAACGAAGCTGTCTAAATCTTTTAGAGAAGGAGCTCCGCTGTCTATCAAGCACAAATCGGAGAGGATGGTCACGGTTATCCATAAATGATAACAGCTTGTTCAATGTCCTCCTCTCCATCACTGCCTCAAATGATTCTTGTTCACAGCCAATGACAGAGCCAGCCCTCCTAATTAGCCTGTTAAATCTATCGGAGTCCCTGGCTGCAATACTACTCCCCCAGCAAACCACTGAGGAGTACAAGGCACTAGCAACGACAGACCGATAGAACATTTCCAGCATCTTATTGCACACATTGAAGGACCTCAGCTTCCTCAAAAAATAGAGTCTGCTGCGGGCCTTCTTATACACAGATGTGCTGTTTGTTTTCCAATTCAGACAGTTGTCGATAGTCACACCCAAGTATTTGTACTCCTGCACCATCTCCACATCCCTCCCCAAAATGGAGAGGGGCTGTGGAGCAGTTCCCTTCCTCCTGAAGTCAATAACCATCTCTTTGGTCTTGTCCAGGTTAAGCAGCAAATGATTCTGTCCCGACCACTCCACAAACTCATCCACCAGCCTCCTGTATTCCCCCTCCTGCCCACCCCTTAAACACCCCACCACCACAGAGTCATCGGAATACTTCTGTAAATGACATGACTCCGAGCTATACTGAAAATCTGAGAATCAATAGAAACTTTTTGAAGTAAACCCCACGGAGTCTTTCATCTACACAGGTGTGTGAATTGCAATGCAGACTGTCTATGATGTAGGATTATTCTCCAAAGGTCTTTTGGGAATAATGCTGAGAGTTATTAAATAGGCTACATAACTTTACACA